CCCCCCCCCCCCCCTCGGCGTGCTCTTGAGTCAATTTATCCTCTTCTGGAAAATGCAGGAACTGACCTGTGTCAGGATAGAATAGAAAAATGTAGAAAGGAGAGTACAAAAAACACAGCCACTCCCTGTTATTTACACTGAACTCCCTCCTTTCCTGGATCAACCCCACCCCCTCCACCTTCTACTTACCTCACACACTCCAGTTTTTAAAAAGTTGCTCTTGCCATCTTTGACCTTTAACCAATTCAACAATCATTCACTGGGCTCTTGTGTCTGGAGCCAGACTACCTTGGTTCATGTCCCAGCTCTACCTCTCACTGGCTGTGTGTCCTTGGGTGGCATCAGCTGTAAGATGAGAATAGTCATAGCCCCCGCCTCACGGTGTTGCTGTGAAATTTACATGAGTTAATACATGTGAAGTGCTTACAACAGTGCTTGGCACGTGAAGGATCTCAGTGTTAGCTGTTATTGCCACATCTCGGTGAGTCCCATACAGACTGTGCCTCCTGCAGCCTTGGCATGAATCACTGTTCTTTTGGCTGAACTCCAGATGAAGTTGGCTGTCACTGAGGGCCTGTATTATCTATTAGGGCTGACATACAAAATGCTATAGACTGAGTGGCTTCAAAAAACAGAAATTTATTTTCTCACAGTTCTGGACGCTGAAAGTCCATGTTCATGGTGTCGGCAGGTTTGTTTCCCCTGAGGCTCTCTTCCTGGCTTGTGATGGTCATCTTCTCCCAGCATCCTCACATGGCCTTTTGTTGTGCATGAGCCTCCCTGGCTTCTCCTCCTCTTCTTGTAAGGACATCAGTCCTATTGGTTTAGAGCTCCAGCCTTATGACTTCATTTAACCTTAATTATCTCTTTAAAGGCCCTGTCTCCCATACACTCATACTGAGGGGTTAGGGCTTCAACACATGAATGGGGGTGGAGTGCCATGTTCTACAAAAAAATACTGTCCTTATCTTTAAACTCTAAAATGACACCACAAAGGCGATACATATGACCCTAACTTGACAGGACAGAGCAGATTCAGGTCACAGCCAATCTCACATTCACTCTGGAGCTTACATGCATTGAGTAAAATGGCCAATGGAAACATCTGTATTATTTAAATTATTTTTTAATTCAAAAAAATTTTAATGTGTTAACCAAACACATACAGTTGAATGTGACTTCAAAGTGGTTATTATTTCTCAATGATGACAACTAAGATGCCACTGGTAAAGTTGAGCTTAAACCTACTCCTACCCAGAATTTTCTACCTGCTTCATGCATGTACCTTCCACAGGTACTTTGTGTGGGTCAAATCATCTGTGCTGTGGCTGCAGAGACAGATGTACAGGCGAAACGTGCAATTGAAGAGATAAAGATCACCTATGAAGATCTGGAGCCCGTAATCGTCACCATCGAGGTAAGCTGACTGGTCTCTCCCGTAAGGTTACAGATTAAAAGTACTTTTGTAAATATCTTAATATCATCCTTAGCAAAAAAAGGCAATAGCTTTAAAGCTATGGGAGAGTAAGAATGCAGAAGACAGGTGCCTTCTGAAGTATGGAAAACGACCTTGGGTCTGACAGAACCTCAGAATGGCTCCCAGTCTTCTTGTGTGAGTTCGTTCATGTTATTATCAGAAAGAAAACAAAGAACTAGAGAAGCCCTGTGAGATATGTCAAATCTCAAAGAAATTAAAAAACTTCCTACAACATCTATTGGGCTTTCTTACCCAGAAATGCATTAGGACTTGAGTCTTCTCCCTCAACACGGCCTGTTCTTTCAGATCTCTGAGTTAGAGGTTCTTGTACATGAGCTACCTAAGTCGTACACCAGTGTTTTTCTTCATGGAAAAGGTAAAAAGGGAAGGCCCAGAACCTCACCCATACTGCATGGAGACCTATCCCCTGTTCCCTGGAGATCCACATTGAAAATGAGAAATGAGTAGTGATCATCCTGGACCATCAAAGTGCCTCCAGATCTCAATTCTTAACGTTTCTCTAACCCTTATTGGTTTCCTCTGCAATCTACAAGACAATCTCTCCAACATCCCATCTCTGCAGCACGTCCACTGCTCTAGTACCTCCCTGCTTGCAGGACTCCTTTGATGTGTCTTAGCAGATGGCAGTTTGGGGAGTTTACTGGCTTTTTATTAAGAAAAACACTGCCAGTGGAAGAAACTTACAAAGAATTGGCTTTGTGTTTTTCTCCTGTCACTTAGGATGCCATAAAACACAACTCATTCCTATGCCCTGAGAAGAAACTTGAACAAGGAAACATTGAGGAAGCATTTGAAAAAGTCGATCAAATTGTTGAAGGTAAGAGACTCAGGATATTTGATGGGATCTTTGGGGAATTCTACTCTGAAGCAGACATTGACAGCCTGTGATTTCCTCTTGGTGCTTTGCCAAATTTCTCTTAAATCGCTTCTTTCCAAATAGAGTGTGTGTGTGTGTGTGATTTTGATGCGTCAAGGGCAGAGTGAGGAACGGAACCAGACAGGTTCTACTTGTTATCCAGAACTGTAATCTCTGAAACAGATTGCTCTCAGTTGACACAGGACAAATGCCTGACCCATCAGTTCCTCGGTCAGGACAAATCCAGGCTGGCCAGTTCACCACATCTTGCTTGCTTTTGAATTCCCCAACATGACCATTTCCAACCAGCGTGCACCTTCAGGAATTTCCCTGTGCTTGCACCTAACAGGAGAGGTCCATGTTGGAGGACAGGAACACTTTTACATGGAAACACAAAGAGTGCTTGTTATTCCAAAGACAGAGGACAACGAACTGGACATCTATGTGTCAACACAGGATCCAGCCCACGTACAGGTGAGGGCCAGGACCGCCCCCACCTCTGCAACTTCCTAAGTCTATCAAGGCCTCACCCCCCTCTGCCTCGGAGTTGGCAGGCATTTACTTAGAATACAAGCATTGGACAGCAATGGAGAGCTAAGACCCCAGAACCCTTTTTTTCCCTGGTCTTGTGAAGTCATTCATTGTATTATTTAGATTTAGAGAAGACATTCAGTGGCAGTATGCTTAAATGAACTTTGTGATTGGATGACAACACTAAGTTATATCTATACTTGATTTTTCTCTAAGATCATTATTACAGTTAACCTGTGGAGTAAACCCTTCACTTTATAGCACATTTTCATTTCCCCAGCCATAAAGTACTCAGAAAGTTTTAGCTGCAAATACTTCTTCTTGTTCAGGAGGATGTCTAGAGTTTGCTGTTTCTCACCTTGTTGGGACATTGAGTTAAGGCATTTGTCTCAGAGTTCAGCTTCTGACAGGAACCCAGGACGGTTTCTTCTGAGTTTCCCTTCTGGAAAATGCCATCTTTCTGCTGGAAAGGCTGTGTTCTGTGGCAATGACCCATGTTTATGACCTCAATGGGGCTACACAAGACACATTCAGACTGTCAGTCTTTTTTTTTTACACAGTAGATGTGGATGGATTTTGCAGTGATGTTGTGTTTCAGGAAATCAAAGTCCTCCTTGCCATTTCATTCTTGTAAAACTTTCCCAATATCTAACTTTTACAGAAAACAGTGTCTTCTACTTTAAACATCCCAAGCAACAGGATCACCTGTCATGTGAAACGAGTGGGTGGAGGTTTTGGCGGGAAAGTAGGAAAATCAGCTGTGTTCGGAGCTATTGCAGCTGTGGGTGCCATCAAGTAAGTGCACTTGGGGGTACAAAAGAGTGTAAAATGTCAGAGCTGAGGGCCGATCAGTGGCCTGAGAGGCACTTGGGCTGCTGTCATCACCACCTGCCACCCTTGGGCAACTCAGCCTCCTGTCTCTTTTTCCTTTTAATTGCAGATATAATGCCCACCCTCCTGGAGTTATTAGAAAAGTCATATGTAGATAGGACTTTGACTATGCTAATTTCCTATAAAAAGTAAAAGTGGTATTACTAGTTGAACACCTCCAGGGCCAGGGTTGTCCTGACCCTGAGCTTCAGAGAAGGTGACCCATGTAGGGGTGGGGCAAGTAACTACCCAAGTAGAGTGCCAAGTGGGAGAATGCTCCCTCGCTTTTCCTTCCAACTCTCAGCTGCAGACAGGCGAGGTGAGGGAGGAAAGACCCCACCCTTTGCCTCCTCCCTGCACCTGGGGAGAGCTGGCTTTTCAATGTGTGTTCAGTGGACAGATGACATCCTCAAAGAGAGCTCCCGGCCTCACCTCAATGGAAGGCTCACTGTTCATGCTGTGCATGGTGTTGGCTTTTCTAGTCCTTGTTCTTTTTTTTTTTTTGTACTTTGTCAGAGCTCCAATCAGCCTGTAAATGTCCTTTAGCAGCTTCTGTATAGTTCAGAGCTAGGAACCACGACACTCAATATGTGTCTCCTTCTGTGATGAGAGGTAGGAAAAAACAGGATCTGAATCTCACCTCCACTTCTTTTCATAATGAACCTCTCTCTATTCACATCCACCAGGGACCCAGCAAGGGAGAATCAATTTGTTGTATTCCCACCAGGCTTTGTGCCTTTAAGGCTTCTCAAGCATAATTGCACATTAGACTCATCTTGGGAATATTTAAATCCAATTGCCTAGGATGCCCCATACTGACCCAACCATTATTATATATATTTTTTAAACTTTCCTCCCTGGCCGGGTGGTTCAGTTGGTTGGAGCATTGTCCCATACACCAAAAGGTTGTGGGTTCAATTCCTGGTCACGGCACGTACTCAGGTTACAGGTTTAATCCCATAGGTCAGGGTGCATATGGGAGGCAAGCCATTGATGTCTCTCTCTCTCTCTCTCTCTCTCTCTCTCTCTCTCTCTCACTGTGTGTGTGTGTGTGTGTGTGTGTGTGTGTGTGTGTGTCAGTCTCTCTCTTTCTCTCTCTTTCTCTCTCTCTCTCTCTCTCTCTCTCTCGTCAATAAAAACATTTTTTGAAAGCCTTCCCAATGGTTCTACTGCCAAGTGTGGGAAACACTATCTTAAACAACCCTGCCTTAGCATACTCCTGCCTTGTGTTAAGTGGTCCCCAGAGGAGTGCTCCCAAATTGCTGGTAATAAGATTTTCCTCAGCTCATAGCAATTTCTGCCTCCCTATCCCAGACCCACAGAATCAAAATCACCAGGAATTGAACCCAGAAACTGAACATTTAACTGATGCTCCAGGTGGTCCTCACCATTAAAGAAGACAAGGAAACCCTACACTAGAATTATGGTTTTCAACATGTACCTAAAGACACCTGCATCAAAATCGCTGAGGGAAATGCAGATTCTAGGGCCCCTCCCAAACCTATTGCTAAAGTGCTAAGGCTCAGGAATCTGCATTTCACCAGCACTCCAGAAGATTCTTCTGCACTCCAAAGTCTGGGAGCCTCTGCCCCTGAGATACAGGAAGGCTGAAGCTCCTAGCTCCCCAGGAGCCCAACTTGGCCAACATCAGGGCAGTCCCAGTGAAAATGAAGATCCAGCCCTAGCTGGTTTGGCTCAGTGGATAGAGCGTCAGCCTGCAGACTGAAGGGTCCCAGGTTTGATTCCAGCCAAGGGCACATGCCTGGGTGGCGGGTTTTATCCCCAGTGGGGGGATGTACAGGAGGCAGCCAATCAATGATTCTCTCTCATCATTGATGTTTCTATCTCTCTTTCCCTCTTCCTTCCTCTCTGAAATCAATAAAGATATATTAAAAAAAAAAGAAAGAAAGAAAATGAAGATCCAAATCCTGACACATCCTAAGACAAGTGTTGGTCTTTGCTTGCAGTTGTGTTGTTAAGTTTGCATTTATCTGTTCACACTCTCTCCTTTGTTACTAGTGGTGGGGATATGCAAAAATGACTGGATGTGGATGATTGTCAAATTTAAAGCCATAACAACACAAGTGAACAGCCATGTGACATTAATCACTTTAGCTAGATCTTAATTATAGACCACGGAGACAATAGTAATTTAGTTGTACATTAGATCGATGCTTCACATAGTGTATGCACTCAATGAATATATATGGAATGGATGGATGGTTAAATGAATGATTGGATAAGATGGATTGGAGGGCAGGTAGAGGATGGATGGGTAGAAAGGTAGATAGATGAATGGGTGGGTAGATAGTTAAACGAGGGGATGGATAAATAGGTGGATGGATACTAGGTGAGTAGATGGTGGATGGACGGGTGGGATGCAGACTGTGACGAAGATTTGTTGTCCTTAGAACTGGTCACCCTGTTCGTCTTGTTCTTGATCGTGAAGATGACATGTTAATAACTGGGGGAAGACACCCATTATTTGGAAAATATAAAGTGAGTATTAAAGATGAAATTATTAAAATACCTCATTCTATTTGAATGGTTTTATTCTCTTCTATTGTTTTGATTTTGTTGAATTCTAAAAACAATAATCTTAGCATCTAAAATATTAAGTGAGGATGCTGTGTATTTGAATACTCATAACATTTTTGTGAGGAACTTTTCATAAATCTAGTGTAGAATTATGAAGTTGAATAATAAAAATACATGATTAAAAATGCTAATGTTTCCTCAGTGACAAAAACCTGAAAGAAGCTACAAACATTGTTATACTAAACTTCACTTTACAAGTGTTTCCACTAAGTGGTTATGAAAATGTCATAAAAATGATTTGCAAATAGGAAAAAATAATTCACTAACAAGTGAAATAATTTTAAATTGTTTCAAACCACATTCATTGCATTTTTATGAAACTGTAGCATAAACACTATTAAAAATACTTATTAACATCAATACTACTTTTCAAATTTGTGCTTGAGTTCTTTGGACATTTCTAATGTAATATTTCCCTATCAAATATGCTTTATTTGGCAATTGCTCATAGCGTACATATAGTTAAATTTCATATCTAATTTTGTCATTGCCTGAGATTACTACATTGTTATATTTTTTTGTCATTACTAAAACAATGGCTTTTCACAATTTTATCTCTTCCATTGGCATTAGTAACTTATATAATTAGAGAGAAATAAACCATAGTTGGCAGTTAAACCTTGTATTTGCCTTCAAATGCACAGAAATTAATACAGATATTATTATCTTCAAGTACCAAGAGCAATGTAGAGACACATTCTGGGATTGTGGCAATTAGTATTATGGTAGTTGCTGAGTCCTTTGGTTTTGGCCTGGATTATAAATCAGAATTTATTTCTATTAGTTGTGAGACACTTTTAGTACTAGTGCCTATTAAGAGGATTTAGACAGCAAATATTTTGGCATTTATAATAATATAAAACATAATATAAAAGAGGGAGATCATTAGACTATTTTAAAAATCCAAATTTTATTTTATTTTTAAAGAAATATAATTGTACTTCCAATATAATAATATGTGTGTATGTATATACATGTATGTATATATCCTCATTAAACTTAGATAACAAAGGTTTGCTTGTTTACTTGGAACTACTAGTAAATTAGTAGAGCAGATACTTATGTGTGAGGGATTCTTCCAAAATTCTTCAAAAGTTTATCTTAAACAGCTGAAGAATTCTCTCTGCTATCTTTGCTTGGCAATGCTTTCTTCAGGAAAAGTTAAAGGTACGCTGCAGCCTAGCCTTTGTCAACATTGCCATAAATTCTGAATTGGCGGGTTTTCCCACATGTCCTAACTGCTCTGGTTTATTATCCAACACTTCCCTTGGAGTAGATGATAATAACCAGATAGTTGTACGGTTTCATCACTTGTATTTGTCCCCGTCTTCAGAAGACAGACACCAACCAGAGCCAGTCTTTTTGGTAGAACTACAGCAGGGCGTGGGAATTTCTCTTTTCAATCTGGGCTCTACAGACAGACTGGTCCCGTGGTGGGAGGGGAGTGGTGACTTCAGGAAAACACAGGTGCCTCTGTGAGGCCCACCCGGGAAGCACAGCAGCACGAACTCACGTTTGTTACATAACCAGTTGCAAAGCGCTCCACAGCTCAGCACAACCAGAGCCGTCAGGCCAGGGACCATTTCCAGCCCTGGCTTCTGACGCTTTCCTGCGACGAGATGCACTGCCATTCATCCCATCGAACTCTGAAATTCCAGAGACTTTTCCACGGGGCGGAAACCACGGGCTAAATTAGAAGGAATGCCAGTAAAAAGTGAAGGAGAATCTTCCAAGAATAAGGAAGAAGAGGGTAGCAATTACATGTCTGGAGATCAGCAGGAACTTTAGAATTCCATGATGACGGTGAAGCCAGAAAATTGCAGGTTGGAAGGAAAGGGCTCAGCAAAATTCAGGTCAGAGGAGGCCTTTGTCAGCCAAGTGCTGAAAGCCAGGGGGAATAGCCAGGTGGGGACACCACAGAGCAAACGCGAGCAGAGTCTGTCTTCAGTCCTGCCCAACAGTGGAGCTGGGCTGTGGCTCCAAGTTGGCACGGACATTAATCATGTAAAATGTCCATCATTTGCCGACAGGTGGGATTCATGAACAACGGGCGGATCAAAGCTCTAGACATTGAGTGCTTCATTAACGGAGGGTGCACACTGGACGACTCGGAGCAGGTGCGTGCATCACACGCCAGTGACCTTGGTCGTGAATAGAACCCAGAACTTCTAGATGAGTCTTTACTGAACGCGCTTCCTCAAGTACTTAACCCGGTTCCACAGCAGCTTGACTCCGTGTTCTTGACTTTTAGAGAAAAGAGGAAAATGTTATCCAATATATGTGAATACCTTCTATTATTTTAGGTAACAGAATTCCTTGTACTAAAGCTGGAAAATGCATATAAAATCCAAAACCTCAGGTTCCGGGGCCGTGCCTGTATGACCAACTTACCATCCAACACGGCCTTTCGCGGATACGGCTTCCCACAAGGAACCCTGGTAACAGAATCTTGCATCACAGCTGTGGCAGCCAAATGTGGCCTTCTGCCAGAGAAGGTAAGGTTGTAATCAAGGTCACAGCCAAGGTTGCTGAAGAATCAGATGAGGAGGGAACCAGCTACCTAGGGAAATACCCTAGAACCACTCAAATTAGCTCTGGCTCAAAATTCAAAATATATTCAGGGCTACCTAAAAGAATTCACCTCCCTCTTCTTATCCTCCACCCTTCTTGTACAAAGATTTCTCTTTTTCCTTCTTTTTAAAACTTGTGCGAAGATAATTACTCTTCTTAACCTTTAAACCCCACTGAAGTCATTAAAGTAAAAAGTGAACGTACCCTTTTTTATCCCTCCATCCCTATTGGTTAAGGGTAACCATGGTCAGCATTTCCATATTTATTGTCCTAGCCCTTTCTCTATGGGTATCTACCCATCTGTATTCATACATACATACATAATCATTGCCATGTGTTTATACATGCACATATACAGTGATTTACCAAAATGGGGCCATAATAAACACATTATTCTGCACTCTGCTTTTTTCTACTTGACAATAGGCCATGGCCATCTTCCTGTGGCAATAGAATGACCTACTTCCTTCTTTTTCAAGACTGAATAGTGCTATGTAACACGGATGTGCCGTCATTTGCTTAGCCACTCCACTACTGGTGCACGTTCAGCTTGTTGCCCATCTTTGGCTATTAAAATGCTGTTGCTATACACATCTTGGTGCAGATGTCTCGGGGGTATATCTTTGCCCTCCTAGGTAGAGGGTAAATTTACAGAAGTGAAATTGCCAGCGCACTTGAAAACTCTTGAGAGATACCGCCAAAAGGATGCTCTCCGAAAACATTATTTTGCGCAATATCCTAGAAGGTGCACAGTATATACAACATGCTAGTCAGACAGGGACAGCTCCTGGCAGTTGAGGTCAGAGTTGACAACACTTTCTGCTCTTCATATACCCCATCAGACCCCAGCCTGCTTTTTACATTTCAATCTCGTTTCCTCAATATATGCTGTAGTCAGTTTCCGACTTGCCATAACTATCGATTCCATTTTCCTCCCACGTCAGGTTAGGGAGAAAAACATGTACAAAACTGTGGATAAAACCATCTACAAACAAGCCTTCAGCCCCGAGAACCTGATACGATGTTGGGACGAATGTCTGGACAAGTCTTCCTTTGGCAGCAGAAGAAAGCAAGTGGAAGCATTTAATAAGAAGAATTACTGGAAGAAGAAAGGACTTGCCATTATCCCCATGAAGTTTTCAGTCGGCTTTGGTGCCACTAGCTACCATCAGGTAAGGTCCTACCTGTGTCAGACACACTCCTGGCCCGATCGATCAGCTTGTGCTGACTTTGCCAGAGTGTCACCTTTCCCAGGGCGCTGAGCCCCTCACCTGAGCAGCACCCATCTGCAAGCACTTGCTCCACAGTGCAGTAGAGAAGTGCCTCCATGGCAGACAGCAGCATTGGCAAGCATGAGACCTGCAGCTGGGGGACTGCTAAGATGGAGTCCTGACTGCCCCACTGAACCCCTATTCAAAAAGGGAGCAGGAGCTTACGGGGCCTGCGGGGCTGTGCTTTCTAAGTTCAAGGGTCACAGGCTTGGGCAGGAATGGGGCTGCTCCTGGCCTGCACCCCAGGCCCCATAGCATTCCTTGGTGCACCCTAAGTCTTAGGCAGGGAAGTCATTCTACGTTGCCCTAACCAGCAGCTATTTGTTTCAAACCACCTCTCCCAGGAACCTGTCAATTCTGATAGGGAAAGGGAGGTGGGGCCCAAAATCCTCCCAGACCTAAGTCTTAGGCAGGGAAGTCATTCTACGTTGCCCTGACCAGCTATTTGTTTCAAGCCACCTCTCCCAGGAACCTGTCAATTCTGATGGGGAAAGGGGGGTGGGGCCCAAAATCCTCCCAGGTAGGTTTGCAAAAGGAAGAGGCAAGTCATTCAGAGGCCCTCTCCAGAAGGGAGGAGGAAGGGCGGCATATAGGTGAGTCCATTAAATAGCACAAGGCCTGATACTGAGTCTTCCCAGCAAGCCCAGTGGGCCATATACAGGAAAGCTGTTTAGAAAACTGGGAAAGACTGTTGCATCTTGGGATTGTCCATCAAAAGCAGAAAAATCTTACACACATTATGTCTAAATATAAATCTAAAAATGCAGTAGATCTCCCTTATGTATATACCATTGAAAACATTCTTCCACTTACACCCAACTATTGGCAGCCAATACACACACACACACACACACACACACTACAAAAGCTTTCCTGTCAAAGAAAATCTTTCTTAGGTAATAAACCAAGTGCCCCAAATCCCCGATCAACTTGAATCAGGCAGACCCCAGAAATCCTTGGCCCTGCCACTTACTGGCTGTGTGATGTTTAACCTCTCTGAGCCTCCGCTTCCTCAATTATAAACTGAGAAGAATAATCCTTTCTCTTAGGATCGATGAGAATTCAATGAGATAATGACTGTACAGCATTGGCAGGGTTCCTGGAACACCGTGTAGTTATCAGGACAGTCCACCCCCACACCCAGGAGCTCTGACACACCTCTCAGGCCTGCGGCTCCTCTGGTGTAGAATGAGACTCCCCGACTCCTGGTCACAGTCCTGTTCAGATCTGATGTGCCCATTCTATACAGAGGTGCATGAAGGTTAATTGTCTGCAAGCCTGACTGAATCAACAGCTAAGGCATAAGAGATCCTGGATATCACATGTGATGCCAAATGTGTCTTTTCTACACCAATTCTCCAACATCAGCTGGGTGTCCAACAATCCATTTCCATTCTGACACTAACTACCCAGACTTAGTGCATAGGTCAAAGGCCGAGTCCCACAAGACCGCCCCGATTTCAGACACCAGCACAATGAGGTGCTCAGGCTACTGGCACTTCCGCCCAGCCAACTACAAATTTGGGGGTTTCCTCTACCCACCCCCTCAGGTTTGATAATTCACTAGATCAACTCACAGGACTCAGGAAAGCACTTTGCTTATGATTACTGCGAATTTATTCTAAGTGATACAACCCAAAAACAGACGAATGGAAGAGATGCATGGGAGAGGAGGCGTGAGGCTGTCGGGTCCTCTCCCTCCACCATGGGGCCCACCTGCTTGTGGATGTATTCTCCGACCCGGAAGCTCCCAGAAATCTCATTACCTGGATACACTTGAGTAAATCATCGGCCATCGGGGATTGAAATCAATCTCTAGTCTCACACCTCCCTGGAGGTCAGGGCGTGGGGCTGAGAGATGTGACTCTCCCGGTGGTTGGTTTCTCTGGCAACCATCCTGCCTCCCCACCCCAGCTAGATAGGTTGCCCCCCAAGAGTCATCTCATTAGCATACAAAGCACAGTAAATTCCATGGGTTTTAGGAACTGTGTTAAAAACCAGGGGCAACGACCACATATTTGTTTGTATTGTACCACAGCTCCCCTCACCTTTATGGCTGCCCCACACCTAAACCACGGCCTAATTTCTGCCAACTTCTCATCTCACCACAAAAGAAATGCTTTAAATCCAGCAAAGTGTCCCTTTGCAAGACCTCCAGCTTCCCCACAGAGTTCCAAGTTGATGTGCTCAGGGCACACCAGGCTAGGAGCTGAGGTGTGTTATTCCAGGCCAGCTGATGACTCAGAAAGCTGGACACCTACTCCCTAAACCAGGCAAGAGTAGCATGTCCTCGCAGGGGGTCAGGAGGCCACGCTGAAGAAATACTATTATTAGAACCTACAAGCCTTGATGCCTGCAATCCCTCCAAGCCATCAGGGGCCCAGACATCTCCAGACAGAATAGACAGAAGTCCTACTTCCTCCTCCTCCTCCCCCTCCCCCTCCCGCTCCCTCTTCTCCTCAAAGGAAAAATACCACATCGCCATCCATCCAGTTTAACAAACACTTTTTTAGTGTCTCTGTGACTCAGATCTACTCAGAGTTCCCTTCAGGACACAAAGATGAAAAAGACTAGGTGCCCCTCCTCGCTGAGACTCCCTGTCACCCCGGTATTCGTTTCCTGCGGCCTCAATAACAAAGTACCGCAAACTGCGTGGCTTCAAACAACACACGCATTCTCTCACGGTTCTGGAGGCTAGATGTTAAAAATCCAGATGTTGGCAGAGCCATGCTCCTTCGAGGCCCCGGGGAAGAAGCCTGCTGTGCCTCATGTCAACTACTTGCATCTGCAAAGACTACTTACAAATAAGGTTGCTTTCTGGTGTCCCCTTACAGAGGACACTACTCAACTCAGTACACCCCTGTAAGAGTAGGTGCAGAGAAGGGGGTAACAGATCCTTTCTGGAGAGGAAAGAGGAGTGTTCACAGAAGTTCTAACAGAATAGAGACCACAGGGGTGGAGGGTGTTAAGGCTGGGGAGCAAGCCAGGGAGAGAACAGTGCAGGTCAGGCAGGAACAGGGGTAATGCCAGGCTTAGAGGAAAGGTAGGAAAAGACAGGGAAGAAGTGGGAAAAGCATCAGAGACCGAATCCCAAAGGGCCTCATATAATAACAAGGAGCAGGTGCAGGGCTCTCCCTTGCAGACAATGGGGAGTTTTTGCCCACCTTGCCCAAGGGGCAAACTGTTCTCCCTTTCATGATTCCATTCAGTGTCGCTTTGGGGAACCCTTCCCTGGCTCTGCAGAAGCAGCTGGGTCTGTCCTCCCAGGTCTCCGGGGCCCCAAGGCACACCATTTATCTCACAACTCATTCTGCATTCTAATGACCTGCTTTCCAGCCTACCTCCCACTGCACTGAGCTACCTGAGAAAGAAGTACATCTTATTCATGGTTATATATCTAGAGCAAGCACATAACACGTGGGTGTACTTACAAATGTTTAATTCACCAGTTGAGTGGTTTGCCAGAGATTTTAAGCAGGAGAGTGACTTTCAAACAGTAGCAACCAATGCCCACAACTCCTGAGTATCCCAAGGGGCTCCTACTAAAACCAGGTTCCTAACGAAGACTGTCTTTCCAGGTGACTTTTGCACAAAACAGAACTAGGCCTCAGAACCCCACCAGGAGAGCTTGCCTCTGACCCTCCCCACTCTGCGAGACTGGCATTTCTCTACCCCGTTTCTTCTATTGAACCTCACTAAACTGGCCCTGAGCTGTGTCTTTGGGTTGTTTTTCTAGGCAGCTGCACTGGTTCATATCTACACAGACGGGTCTGTATTGGTCACACACGGAGGCAACGAACTGGGACAAGGTATTCACACCAAAATGCTACAGGTAAGATCAATAAAATGAAGTCATTGATCTCACTCATTTTTGATATGACTGACATTTGGCACTAATTTTAGGGTAAGGGACAACTCCCTGAACTCAAACCCTAAGATCTTGACTATTTAGTTGAAAAACTTCTTACATATCAAATAAAATGGCTGAGGTGGTGGAAATCACACACACACACACACACACACACACACACACACACACACACACGTGCAAAAACTCCTGAAGCTTGGTCAGGGTCATGGATGGAGGCGTGAGCCCCTGGAGTGTTGCGCTGGGTGTGCCATGCAGGCTTCATAGAGTAGGAGTTTCTTGCTTTTCCTATTTGAGACCAGCATGCATAAGTTTTAAAGTTTGGACAATATTAGGGTATTATTTTGACAAGTAAGGATGACTATTTCATCAATGTCATTCTCCTATCATTTTAAAAGAATACTTTAACACACACATACCTACATACAAAATAGGAAGATGTGACCCCAGGAGAAAAAAATAATTCTTTAAATAAATTTAACTGTATGACAAATGCATTAGATTGTTGTAGTGCATATCTGCAGCTTTTGACTATCCATCCCCTTAGCTACTTTGGAATACACCTCCCACATTCCATCTAGTTCTGAAGGACTCCTCAATTCTGGTGGCTTTCAGCCCCATCCCCCTCCTGTTACTGGTACAAGGTGCATGTGCCAGGATGTTTCAAAAGAAAAAGTCAATAGTCAGAACATCAGAGTTTTAAGTAAAGAAATGTGTATTGATCAAGAAGGCCCCGCTCAGGAAGATGGGGGTGCCTTACAGCTTCTGCAAATCTGTCTCTTTTTTTCTTTTCCTTTTTTTTTTCTTCTTCTGCAAATTGATCTTAAGAGAGCCCAGAATTCAGGCATTTTTTTTTTGTCATCAAGGGAAGGGAGGAGAAGTGAGGCAAGATGTGGGTGAAGGCCATGAACAGTGAGGCCCTGACAGGGTTCCAAGGAAGAGCTGCAATTTCTAAGTCTTGTTCCCAGTTGGTGGTTGGTCAGTTGACACCCACTGACCTGAGTGTGGGCTGGAGGCTCCTTTAAATCCTCCCATTCGAAACCATATTGTATTCTCTCCCTTATTATTATTACCTATCAGGTACGTCAAGACGGGCAGTCACAACGTAGTTCGGCCCCCCATTGCTGCCTCTCTCGATACTGGCTGCCTCTCGAGATAATGCCTGGCCGGGTGGCTACCTGTCATGATATTGTCCAGCCCAGCAGTTGCCTGTCCTGTCGCTGTCCAGCCCTGTAGCCACATGTCATGAGATTTATGCTTTAAAGGGTATCACGAACATATTAAAAAGTCATTTTTATTAAGAAAAATGATGACTCAAATCTTCATAGAACTCCTTGCTGAACTTGAAAATATGTCTTTTTCTCATAGGTGGCCAGCCGTGAATTAAAAATACCCATGTCTTACATGCACATCTGTGAGACAAGTACAGCTACGGTGCCTAATACAATTGCTACAGCTGCCTCCATCGGTTCAGATGTCAATGGCAGAGCCGTGCAGGTGCTTGCTGCTGTCTGTCTGTCTGTCTGTCTGTCTGTCTTTCCTTGGGTACTTGTACCACATCTCCGGTTTTCTTAGCTGGATACAGGCACAAGTGGCTGGCTTCAGAGAAGCCATCTGTGTCACCAAACTCAGGCTCAGGATAACCAAAGTGTCAGAGAGTGTGTTAGCTGGAGTAGGCTAAATGGAGGTGACAGATAGACCCAGAACATAATGGCTGAAACATAACTACGTCCCTTTCTTGTACACTGAAGAGTCAGGGGGTGTGTTCACTCATTCAAGCACCCAGATTGATGGCAATTCCTCCATCTCCAACATGTGACTTTCAAGGCTGCCCTGAGCGTCATCAGCCAATGAGCCAGGGAGGGAGAGCATGGAGGCCAGATCTGGCAGCCCTGCAAGTCACTTCCACTCGCCATCCATTAGCAGAACCGGTCTCAGGCCACAGCTCACTGCAGGGGAGGTGGGAGAAGGTAGAGCAGTGGGAAACCACATGCCCAGCAACTATGGAAGAAGGGGAGCCTGGGTTCTGGTGCAGAGGCAGTCTCTGTCCCTCGAAGACACAGAAAGAAGAAATCTGGGAACCAAGTCGTGCGGAGCTGTGCACGTTTCCCCTGGCACCAATAAGGTCTTGTAGGCAGGGAGGCAGACAGGACTCCAGCCAGGTAGACAGGGTACAATCAAAGCGTCTACATCAGTGGAGTCCTACCAGAGTACTCATCCTTTTTGTTTGTACTTGCTTTCTAACGGGTGTTTAATTTTTGCTTTTTCTGAATAGAACCATGACTTCACACTCCTTCATTCAAATATCTGGTTGCCTGTCCTTCTGTCATGTTTCTGTTATAAACTGTCGCCTTTTTCTATTGGAATGTTGTGGGAAGACAGTGCCAGGACACTGCACTTAAGCTACCAAGATGAACCACTTTTCAATCCATTTTATCTCTGTGAGGACACCCTTAGAGGGGCTCAAAAACCAGAGATTTTTACTCAGAACAAATGTGTGGGAAACCTCAAATTCATGAGATCCAATTTTGGGTGGAATCAAACACAAACTAGGAATAGCTCAATGTGTATGGAAGTTGTCAGCCCAAACTAAGTGTTAATTCATCTAGGACAGCGATTTTCAACTGCTGGGCCGCAAGATTTCTAAAAACATGAAATACCTGACTATTTAGAAACACTGACCTCTTTTCCCTTAGCTTGTCAAATTAAAAAAATGACAACACAACAATAGCCATCCGGTGTGAGTGAATCAAAATTATACCTATTGTTTTTGTCATTGCAGAAAAAAAAAATTGGAGGTGTACTGCAGAATTTTAGTAATTAGTGTATGTGTGCCAGGAGATAAAATAGGGTGAAAATCACTGTTCTAGGACACTGAGTTTTAGGTTTCAGTTCTGAGTATCAGAAACTTTGTAGATCAGGTTATTATAAAAAACAAACTCAATTATTTTTTCACTTCACACCCAAAGCAAAGGCCGCCATTGCAGTACTTTGATGTGGATGGGTGATCAGGCAGAGGAATGGACAGAGAGTTGAATAATGTTTCAGACCCAGACGGATATTGGCATGTCATTGTTGGAGATTGGAAAGCACAAATTTGAATGAAAATAAGATGTTTTGTTTCGTTTATTTTAATGGCTAGAAGATACAAAAGAAGGTACAAGTCAAAAATGTAGAAAAAGAGAAGAAGGAATTAAGCACATGAATATATTTAGAAAGGGGACCTGAGAGGAGAAGTTCAGCTGAGCCTGTGTTCTCACAGGAAGTGAAGCAGGAAGGGAAAGGCCCTCCAGTAACGGACGCTCCACTCAAAGTCAGGGGCTGTGTTGTTATCGGCTCTGTGTCCCCAATGTGCCCGTATCAGGCAGTCCATAGTATTCACTGACCTAATCAGTTATCCATTCATCTTCTTCCACGCAAGTCCTGACCCCTGGGCTCTTCTCTAATGGGAATGCCCTTCTTTACTCCTCCAAGAACGCTTGTCAGATCCTTCTGAAACGCCTTGAGCCCATCATTAAGAAAAATCCAGAAGGTTCCTGGGAAGACTGGGTAAGTGTTCCACTCCATTACTACAAATGAGGAAACCCACACCAGTGCCCAGAGCACCATGGCAGCACACAGCTGGAGCTCGTAGCGACAGTTCTTCCGAGAGTTGGTTTATACCCAAGGGCAAGAGCTCCAAAGGCAGAGACAGCTGTTCCGTGATGTTTACCAGGTATGTATGGAGAGAGCGCCCGGGGAACAGCATCCCTGAGAAGAGGAATGGAAGTGCATGAAGAGTACCCAGAAGGCCTGACCCAGACTGAGCCTTCCTCAGACACACATGCACACACACACACACACACACACACACACACACCCGGTGTGGAGTATTGTTATTGAATAAGTCTCAAGGGAAATGATTTGTTTAATCCAACTTTACAATACCCTATATACTATTTCTTTAGCACAATTATCTCACATTTGCACGTACACTACTAGAGTGCTGACATTTAGATATGAAGCACTAATACCTTGTAAACTAAGCCTGTACATCATGGATGGGCAGCAGGATTCTATTTTATTTCTTTAATTCAGACCTCTGAACTCAAATCAGAAGGAAATTGTTAGTGTACCAGCTGAGAGGAAAAAATATAAATTATGACGAGTTAGTCCTTTTATTGGTAACAAAGCACCAACAATGATCATATGTCGATTTTGACACATAGTTTTATTTTGAATATTTTTATTTTCACCTATTAGATGGTATATTTATTTTATTTTAACTGATTGTGCTCATCCTGCAGATAGAAGCTGCTTTTGAACAAAGAATCAGTCTCTCGGCCACAGGATACTTCAGGTAAAAATGGCAACGGTAACATCTGGACTTAGCCCAGAAAATGGAGGCAACCACGCACTCAGGGCCTCCATCCCTCGTTTGTAAAACAAGTTTTCATCATGTGATCTCTGAGGTCCCTTCTGGGCCCCAAATTCTATGACTTCACATTGGCCTTTGAACTATGTCCAAAGAAATATTAAATAACAAAAATACCCCTATTGGATTTTTAAAAAAGTTAAACATGACTTATAACATCTAATCATTATTTACTTTTCTTTATTGTGGAAAAAACAGAATAATATTCTTTAGTGTGAATTGTAAAAAGAAGTAACTTGCATATCAAGTTTACAAATCTTCCTCCCGATACCATAAAATCTCTGTGCAGAAGCCCCTTGGTAGACGGGGGAGATGGACAGGCGGTCACCAGTCATCACTGGTGCAGGACCCCTCAGTGGAGGCCCTCGGAAAAGGCGGGTTGATTGAAGGAAGCACAGAGAGGAGAGCTGATTGTCAAATTCTGGAAGGGCATGACATTAGTGTAACCATCTAATGAAGCAAACCACCAAACGAGAAAGAGAGAGAGAGAAAGAAAGAGAGAGAGAGATCTCATTAAGAAAGAAGAGAGAGAGAGAAAGAAAGGGAGAGAGAGAGAGAGAAAGAAAGGGAGAGAGAGAGATCTCATTAAGAAAGAAAAAAGGAGGGAATAGCCATGCCCAATGCCCTGTACACCGTGAGTTCTGAATTCCTGAGTTTAGTTACCAAGAAGAGAGCGAATCAGCCTCCAGCTGGGTACTTTTCCATTATAAGTTAATGCATTGAAGTGCTGGCCCTCTTTTTACCGGCTACGGCGACCCTTTGGGAATGCCGGTAAAATCAGCTGAAGTTCTCAACGTGCAGAGCTAAACCACAAGCCTAAGCCATCAAAATACAGACCTGGAGAGCCGAACCGAAATGGTCCGTTGGCTTCTCTCCGTTTCTGACCTCCTGACTGCAGCACGGAGCATCCTCTTTAAAGTGGAGGCGAAGATTCGTGTTGCCACAACCAGCGAGGTTGTGAACACAGGCTGCAGTTTAAATGAGTGGAAAAGGGCAGTTGAAATAAACAGCAGTCAAATTAAATGCTATCATAACTTTAGTAACTTTTTAAATGAATCAACATTCTTGTACACACACGCACACAGACTATCATAACTTTAGTAACTTTTTAAATGAATCAACATTGCTTGCACACACACACACACACACACACACAGAGACACACACATGCATGCACACACATGCACACCCCAAGCTAAAGGGCTTTATTTCTCCCATCAGGGGCTACAAGGCCTTCATGGACTGGGAGAAGGGGGAGGGAGACCCGTTTCCTTACTATGTCTACGGAGCAGCCTGCTCTGAGGTGGAAATCGACTGCCTGACAGGAGCCCACAAGGTAATATAACTTTCTTCTTGGTGAGTTAACACAAGAACAAAATTGCGTTGCACATGAACAGCCCTGAGTTCTCTGTGTAATACTTGTATACAGTAGGAAGAAGACCCTTTCAATCCCGTGGGAACGTCTAGAGATCCAGCTTTATCATGAATTTGCACTTAGAAAGAAGTAGTCAGGAGGCATTGCTCATGACAGCCTAAAATGCATTGTTTCTTATCCTAATTCAGACATCAAAATCACTTTCCAAAGTTGTGTGGAAAACAAAAGGGGGGGGTTGGTTCTGTTTCTAAAGAAAGATCAAGTTATCTGATCTGAAGGAATAGGTAATTAAGCAAATCGTCCTGAGTCAGCATTTTGAAAGCACTCGGCAATGTGATACTGTTTCTTCAGAGTGGGTTATCCCAAGGTGCTCCTGCCTCTAAAGAAATAGATTGGGGTTGGGAGAGAAGGGGAGGGCTGTGACAATAACTTTGTGTTTGCCGTCTCATTGAGTCAAAGCCATGAATGCAAAAGGCCTTCTGGGGCCATTGATAGTCTCCGCACTAAATCTAAAGAGTTAGCAGATGTCTTACCCCCTCCAATGTTGATGGAGTTCAATGCAGTCTTAATTAACTAGCAGGAGTTTGGGAATCATTTGGGACCATGTGAATAAATCTTTAAATACTATTTTTAATTCAGGTTTTCACACTGAGGTCATTTTCATTTTTGGCAGAAAATCAGAACAGACATTGTCATGGATGCGTGTTGCAGCCTGAACCCAGCCATTGATATCGGGCAGGTAGGTCCTGGCCCACTTAGCTGGGTGCTGCTTCCTGGGAGCCATGGGGCCTTCTGAAAAGCACACAGCCTCACAGAGCTCGGCATTTCCCCACTTCAGGTCGAAGGTGCGTTTATCCAGGGCATGGGCCTTTACACCACTGAAGAGCTGAAATATTCCCCGGAAGGTGTCCTGTACTCGCGAGGCCCAGATGACTACAAAATTCCAACCATCACGGACGTCCCAGAGGAGTTCAATGTCTCCTTGTTGCCGGCATCCCAAACCCCACTAACCATCTATTCCTCCAAGGTAAGCCACACCAGCCACTGTGCAGTGTGCTGCATCCGGCAGCATAATAAACAAAAGCAGGTGGACAAAATAAAAAATAGATGTCAACCCTTATCAAGACCAAATCAAGACAGACTGTTAGAATTTGGGCCCAAACCCCACTAACCATCTATTCCTCCAAGGTAAGCACCCCCACCAGCCACTGTGCAGTGTGCTGGGTCAGGCAGCATAATAAACGAAAGCAGGTGGACAAAAGAAAAAATAGATGTCAACCCTCATCAAGACCAAATCAAGACAGACTGTTAGAATTTGGAGATGAATCACCTCGAGCAAAGGGAAATTCGGGGAAGACGAATGATTCACCCGGTGGCCATCCTGGGCCAAGGATTCAATTTATTAAATCCTCTTCCAGCGAGAACTCTAATGTTTCACCTCGAGCAAAGGGAAATTCGGGGAAGACGAATGATCCACCCGGTGGCCATCCTGGCCAAGGATTCGATTTATTAAATCCTCTTTCAGTGAGAACTCTAATGTTCAGCCAAAGCTTTGATTGGATAGAATAACATTTTCACTTAAGAACCTGAAGACTAAAATATTAAATGGGAATAAGATTTCAATGCTACTGAAATCTTAAAAAGCAGCGGCAGCGTGAACAGAACCCTGGACCAGGCCTCAGGAAACCTGCGTTCCTGCCCGAGCCCAACTCTCTGTGATATTAGGCAAGTCATTCACTCAGC